TGTTCCATGTTCCATGTTCCATGTTCCATGTTCCATGTTCCATGTTCGTTCCACAGTTCCTTGTTCCCTAAGGATTCCATCACTTCCCAGTCTGACTAGTTTTTACCCTTTTCCCAGGCCACATTATGTTTCCGGCACTTCATACCAGCTCTGACATGAAGGATTGCTTCTGGAAAGCTGCTTTTTTGCAGCTGGTGACTGCTTCTCTGTGTGAGAATTTGTTGCTGTTGCCGACTAACACTTGAGTATTCTTAAAGCAGTAATATGCTTAATGTAGCAAGCTCACTCTCTATTTCCAATTACTTTTCCTCCTCGATTGAATGGATGTAATTTGCACTACATTGTTATCTTGAAGTAGTTAAGCCATGATCCTGTCATTGGTCACCACAATCACCATTTGTGGTACCAGCCATTAGCAGCTTGTGGTTGGGAACCAAATACACTAATCCTCCTTTCTACTCTTTGTAAACAAAACTATAATCAGGTTAAACAGCCTCTGATGGTACAAATCCTCCTTTCAACACTGAGCCTATGGGACTATACCATCTAGTACAGGATTAAGCACTATTGAGTCTGAATGAGAAGGGATATAAGATAAGTTTTCACTGCATGATAGCATTTGTACAAGTTATGTTGACTAGCTAAGCATAATTATAAAAACTGAGAAGCTAGAGATGACATGTTTGTCTCCCCTGGGACATCATGCTTGACTGCTCAGTTCTCCACCCAGGAAGGTGTGACATCATTAGATAAGGTAGAGCCAGATACAATCTCCAACATTAACCCTCTTTAGAAACATTACCTTAATGCCTGTCATATTTGTTGAGATTTTGAGTATTTTGTATACTTTAGAAGCAGCATTTTTTTTTAATTACTTGTGAGTACACAGTCATTACAGATCTGTTCAAGGTCTTTTAAATTTTCAGCTGGTTTTGACTTGTAAGTGTTTTATGTTTATAACCATCTTAATTGTAGCTAATACATTGTTAATTAAATAAAGAACGATAAGATGTTGTTCATGCTGACCTGATATATTTTGACAGAAAATGGTATATCAAATAAGAAGATTGAAATTTGGCTTCAAGATTGTGGGTAAGTTGTTTCTGTTGAAGAAACGTGCTTTTTAAAAAGTGTGTTAAATGCATTCGGAATTCACAAAATTCAATTTTATTGTACTGTAATTTTTTCATCACTGTGTCAAATAATCTAAATTTAAACATGAATGTACACCAAACAATTAACTGAGTTTTTTTGGCATAAATGCCTTTCTCTTTTTGTCAACCACTTTGCTGATATCAAGTATAATATGCAGTTCTACCCTGAGGAGTTTAGAATAGTTCCGAGGAACTGTAAGATCATGTGGTTTACTTCTACAATTAGTCCCTTCGTAACAGAGCTACACTTGTATTTAGTTTCCTTTGAGCATTCGAGGCATGCCTTGGTGCAGAATTTTACTTCAGGAAAAAGTGGGTCTAAGGCAAGTACCAAATGTTTCATAACAAAAGTACTTTAGAGAATTTACAAGTTTTTCTTCAAAGTTGATGTTATTAGTGCCATTAGAAGACCCTTATGATTAGCGAAGTTATTGATACAGTGTCCTCAAGTGTTTGCATAGGAAACAAGCCACAAAATCTGCTTGGCTGGGATTTCCTCTCGAGTTGTGAAATTCTAGGGAAGTGTTGTTATGGAATTGTGAATCCGGTGTATCCTGCTATGGTGTATTGGCCTGGAAATCTGTGCCTTAGTCAGCAGTGAAGGATCTATTTTTCATCCTCTTCCTTCATTATTTTCATGTGGAACTGCTGGAAGATGCACAGAGACACTCCTCAACAACATATTATGTGGCATTCTCCAAGTAGGGTGACCCATGTTAAAAATTCACAAGTGACAATTGAATAAGATTTTTAAACAAAATCCTCAAGTGTTTCATCAAAAGCAGTAGGCATGTTCTCGACTTGCATTTCCCTTTTATGCACCCAAATATTTATTCCAGTCTACCCACTGTCAGGCATTTTGCTTTTCCAGAAAGCAAAGTGGAAAGGTCTTCCCTATGGAATTCTTCACAGCAGCTATTAATATTCTGTGAATGACTGCAATAGAATTGCAAACCTGAACCTTTTGTCCATCTGGGTCCCCTCTTCTATCTAATAAAGAGAATCAACCTTTTTGCATAAAATGGATGTAAATTTACTACATTATAGGCTGAATTTTTGTGCATCCTTTCACTATAGGAACCATGGCTACTGGACCTGGGTGATTGTGGGAAGGGCTCGACCAGTCTCCTGAAAGTGGTAAAATTTCCAGGGACTGATGTGGGATTCCTAGCCAGTCACATTGGGATGTTAATCAGGCTCATGAGTGAGCCGATTATCACCCATTATTTCTCAGCCAGTACAATTAAGTGGCGCAGCGATTGCCTGGAGACATTTGGAAGACTATTTGACAAAACCTGTCAATAGTGCCAACACCCTGCTCAGGGGTGGGCGCCTTGGTGTTTGGTATAGGAGCCGGGCATTGTGCAGTTGGTGGCCACTGTCCTGGGTCCTTTTCCAGTTTAGGACCTCGGGTGGATTCAATTCTGCCGACAGCTACGACTCCCACGGGCAGCATACCACTGGCTGCCAGGGACCACACACCTAGCAAAGGCCCAAAGGAGATTCTGATTCCTCTGGACCACATTGACAGGGTTTCTTCCATCGGTCACTAACCAGTGATTAAGACTTCCATTGCCCATGTAAGATCTCAACTTAGAAGTCGGTAGCCATCTGCATCTTCAGAATCTTAACATTTAATTGCCTCATCATATGTCTCATGTACAAATGCTCCTGGAAATCTAAACTAAACCCCCTAAGTGTTGTTAAAAGCTTGAATTGAATGCCCAGAGTTTATTTTCACTTGAAAAGAAAACTTGCCATTGTAATATTACATAGGAATTACATAGGAACAAGAGTAGGCCATTCAGTTCCTTGAGCCTGTCTGCCATTTACTCATTTATTAGTCATTATTTTCTTTGAATAATGCACCATACATTTTCCAATTTTCTTCCTCAAATTGTGCATTTGCGAGGTAAGAAGTTTATAACGAGTTTGGCAATTCCAATTTCCATTAAATTCTGTCATTGGGCTGTCCCTATGATGGAGGTCTTTGACTGGCAGGTGGGACATCTGCCACCAATCAGAGGATGGCAGCTCCACATGCCATTATTGCCAATGGGAGCGGTGCCTACCGGTGAAATTTTACCCACCCAAGGCTCAGGATCGCAGAGGCAACATGGCTACAGGTTAGTGCAGGTGTTAGCATTTATACATGAAAATTACTTTTTAAAACGGTACTGACTTGCTGCAAAAATAGTCGCGTTATCGTAGTTCGCCTGCCATCAATTATGAATGCTTTCATGTTTAAGATCTAGACACTTGCTTTATTTTGAGTACAAATTGAGTTTGCATAAGTATTTTTATAAAGTGTCCTTTTACAGCAGTAATCGCATTACAGAAATTTAACTTTATTACACACTTAGTGAAAATTAGAGTACATAATTGTTCTGTGACATTGCTCATAGCACACCAGAGAACATTTCTGTGAGAGAATGACTGTGGAAAGATCTGGAGACAAGTCCCTTTGGGAAAAGCTCGGAAGTAAAATGTTAGTTCGTGATGAAACTGAGAATCAAAACACTAGTGGAATTTTTCTCTTATATGAACTTAGAAATATATAGTGAAGTGATTTATGTTTACAATTTAAAAAAAAAAAAATCTGTGCTGGAAGAGAAAGTACTGTTCCAGAAATAGCATTCAATTGGTAGATAATGCACAGTTGCACTCTGTAAATTTACTTATGATCAAAACAGAAAACAAATTTCTGTTAAAATGATGAAGCTCTATGTAAAAGCTTGTGCTTCACAAAACCAAAGTTCTTTTTAGCAGTAGCTTGTTTGTTCTAGAGCTAGTCCATGTTCAAAGTTGTTCGTATTTTAAGGAGCTTAATCAAAATTTAGGTCAGTGCACTTGTAGAAGATGAAAGAGTTCTGGTAATCTACGTTATGTCTTCTTTGAGTCATTTGGAAACACGAAGAATTGTTGGCACTTAGCTGCCCTTTTCCATAAAACTTTTGCCAATTGACAGTCAGCTTTGTCCCTGTGGTAGAACTTTGCCTCTACATCAGAATGTAGGTTCAAGTCTCTTTCCAGACATTTGTGCACAAAATATAGGCAGGCATTTGAGGGCAGTATTGGGGAACTTCCCCAATGTCAAGGGTGTTGCTTTAACTCACTTGAAATACAAGGCCCACTGTCCTCTGAGGTAGAAATAAAGCACTCATGGTACCTTTCAATATTGAGTAAGAAATTTCTCCAGGTTTATTGGCCAATATTTAATCTTGAGTTAACAATTTAATACTGAATAACTAGTAATTTTGTTTGAACACAGCAGGCCAAGCAGCATCATAGGAGCAGAAAGGCTGACGTTTCGGGCCTAGA